GGATGCCCATCTCTGACAGCTCTTGACTGTCTAACAACAAAACACTAAACTATCTCAAAAGATAAAATGAACTGTTCACAGCGCTCGCTGGAAAACTGGAGGACGAAAAAGAAACTTCAGCCTTTGCTCGGAAGATAAATCGAAGCGTCCAGACCTCACACGCTGCAACAAACACTTTATCTGTCCACTCAGATATGAAAACCAACATCATCATCTCTCTCCTCTCTTCTCCCTCTCTCCTCTCCCTCCGTTCCCTCCTCTCCCCCCTCTCCTCGCCTGCACTGGAGGGCAAGTTCTGAGCTGGAGGAGAAGACGTGCAGCGGCACCAGATGCAGGGCATTCGGTCGGAAACGCTCCATCGTCTGCACAAACGCCCTTAAAACAGCCCCCCAGCGTAGAGCAGCCAACGCAACAGCAGCCAACAACGGGACGACAGAGGAGGACTGAAGCAACCGGAGCATTCCTCCTTCATCCGAGCCAGGCGCCACGTACATACCGCGGGAGCGAGAAGCCGGGAGAAGCAACCGGGATACGTGCCTGCACGAGGGCGTCTGATGGACTGATGCGTCCTATTCCAGACAGCTCGCATCTGTTGGATATATAACATAGTAACTAGTAATAGTAATAATAGTAAGAATGGGGTCAGACTGAGCAGGCAGAGCAGCCTGGACACATGAAATTTCTCCAGAAAGCGACGCAGGCTGTTGGACGTACCGGGGAGGCGACAGGGCGGTCGGGCGGGGGGGATTTCTGCTTCGCGCTGATGGCTGAAATCAGACAAGGCTGCCGGGCGGATGCTGCGCCAGGACCAACCACAGCCCGGTAACAGAGCGGGTGGCGTGGATCAAAGACATCCAGAAGCTGCTGAGAAGACCGCAGGATGGACGCAGCGGCGACGGTCTGCTCAAAATACTGAGGAGGTGAGGAGAGGGGGACCCTGGGGCGGGGCGGGGGGGGTCTGGGATCCTACAAACGCAACAGCAGCTGTTTGTTTAATGTCGGATCCGCAGGGTCAGCCCAGACCTGCACCTGTGGCACCTTTAAAGAGATACACCATATGTCACACTTTCTGCTTTAATTACTCTGTATACAACTCTGTTATGTTACATTTCAACAATTTTTCTGACTCCGTTTATCTCAGGTAGCTTGTCACGCGCCGGCTGTCGATGGCGCCATATCCCCCTTTGCTGCCTGCGTGCAAGAGCTGTCATAGACTGTTTATCCAGTCTGAAGCCACAGTTTTACCATCCACTGTTTACGATCTCTTGGTGCTTTTTAACTCTAGATTTGAACCGGATGAAGGATTTTAGTCATCGGACGTCTGGATCTTAAGTTATCAGAGAAACAAGCTGAGCTAACGTTAGCAGCAGCTTGGCTCAGTTCACTAGCATTATATCTTAACCTCAGTCTGTTAGCTCTTATCCGGTTCTTTACCTGTTCTATCTGTACTCTGAAGGGGCGGGGCTTACCTAAAGATTTTAAGTCTAAAATTGATATGATTGGATCAGAAGTTGCGACATTTATAAGTAAAATATTTACGGAGCAACAAGAGAACGATTAACGGAACAAGTTTTCTTTATAAATGCTGCTATACAGATATTTGCACTGTTTAGTACTCGCAGAAAATACATTATCTGCACCGAATACACGGTTCAACTCTAGAAATATATTCTGATTTAATTTGCTTACCCTTAAATTAAGATATTTAAACTCAAATCATTACATTATTAGTAAAGCATTGTGTATTAACACCTAAAGGCGGCATTAGAAATCAATAAATTGTCAAAATTAGGACATTTATCCCAAATACATAATCTAGTCAGCTTCTCTAGCTCCGCCCCTGTGACCTCTGACCCCTCGTCCAGGTGGCTCTACATGCAGGTACACAGAAAGTAGGCCAGCGTCGTACCAGCGTGACTCACCACTCCCAGTGTGTGTGTGTGTGTGTGTGTGTGTCACTGCATTATCCCTGAATCTTATCTTGTTCGTATGACGGGGCTGTTGGATGTTTCCATCCATCCATCGTCTCTACGTCCGTCCTGGTTTCCTCCGGTAGTCTCACCTCTCTCCTGCCCCCTCCATCCCTCCCTGTAATGGGTTGTAAGCCCCAGAGACCTCGGCTCCACAACACTAAATATTGTTCTTCCCCGAAAAGGTTTTTATTAACTCTCACCTCCAGAGAGCGAGAGACGAGATAAAAATCTAAAAATGTGTTTTTGTGTCGTCATTTTTGGTGATTTTCATTCAAGGATTATTTATTCTATAAGCAGGGATTTTATTTCTGCCTTTTTGGCTGATGAAAATCTCTAAAACCCACCGGATCAAACAAAAACGCACCGTCATCAAGCAGCAAACACCATTTTATTTTTTATTGTTTCAAAAAGCTCGACCATCAGAGGGGCTGCACGATTCATCGACAGGTCGAGTGTAATATCTAATGAGATGTAACGCACACAATAACATGTTAGTTCGGTTCAGAGCCCCAAATAAACTGCACATACGTGTTATTAATATATCTAAAAACACACAACGTCACATTTATCGCAAAGTCAGAAAATCAAAGATGTTGTTTGTTAAACATCCTGTCAAATTATATTTATATATATTATATATATATACCGTACGCAGTGTTAGCTCTGTGTATCGTAGCATAACGTTAGCTCTCCGGCTTGTAGTGTATTGTTATTATCATTATTATTATTATTATTATTGTAGTTTATTACAAGCTTTGTTTTACCTTTTCTGAAGAGTAACTACTGTGAGGGATCAAATTTCAACAAATTAATACATTTAATTTGTGATGGAAATCAGTCATTCACAATTCCCTGATTGCCTGTTACTGCCCCGTTACTACCCGTTACTGCCCCGTTACTACCCGTTACTGTCTGTTACTGCCCCGTTACTACCCGTTACTGCCCCGTTACTACGCCGTGTACTGTCTGTTACTGCCCCCGTTACTAACACGTTACCTGTCTGTTATGCCCCTTACTACCCGTTTACTGCCCCGGTACTACCCGTTACGCTGTCCTGTTACTGCCCGTTATACCCGTTACTGTCTGTCTTCACTCGCCCCGCCCCGTTACTACCCGTTACTGCCTGTTACACTGTGAACCAGCTCCACTGTGTCAGTGATGTTGGATCTTGTTGTTTCTCTTCCCTCCTGCAGTGGCCGTGCAGCATTAACACACCTGTATAAGAATATAGATGTATGGCAGACGTGACAGCCGCCTCGGTGATCTCATTTGTTTTCTCGCCCTCGGGGGCCTCTCCTCTGTCTTTTCGCTGTCGGCCAATCCGACGTTAATTACTCTGAAGCCTCGACACGGGAGAGACTGGAACCTCCTTAATCAAGCCGAGGAGATAAACTGGCTCCATGGCAGCCTCATTGTGGGGGAAACATGGACTCGCTTCCTCTAAAACCAGCTCCACTTTTATTTCTTTTTATCTTTTACTCGCAGGCAGACGTCTGAGAAAGTCTGAATGTTTAAAAGCCTTTAATTGGTGTGTAACTGTGCTCCAGATATGAGAAAGATCTGAGCTTTTTGCTGCAGATATGGAAAAGGATTCGTGGCTGTTGTGCTGTGTTTGCACGTGACAGTTGAAAGTGTCTAAACTCAAAAGAGAGATATTTTTATACCTTGTCTCTCAGAAGGGCAGAA